ATATATCTTATTAACCAAGCGCGAGGGCCGTACTGGGAGAATATCGGCCCGAGGTCTTGACAGTACGGACCGAGCGCAGCGAGGTCCGTACAAAAAAGACCGAGGGCCGATATTCTTCCAGTACGGTCCCGAGCAAGCTTGGTTAATAAGAGATTTATTATACGACTGAAGTTCAAAGGGACACAAGTGCGGTATCATTCGGGACCATTCGGGACAGTGCCCGGTCCAATACTTAGAGAATATTGGACCGGCAATAGAGCATTTTGATTGGTTGATTTTAGTTATTGGCCCTCTGACTGCCCGAGTCGTGTAATAATATTGAATATCAAACACCAACAACAGATGAACATACGTGTTATGCGAAGAAGCAATGAAGTAATGAGACAGAGGTCTGGTCATATCCTGGTTAACTTTGGAATGGTCTGGATTAAATATATCACCCTCTGGACCTAGTAAATAGCTTGTGAAACCTGTGATGTGATACCAAAGCAAAAAAAAAAGAAAAAAAGAAAAAGGAAATGTATATAATGAATACTATGAAAACAGTAAGATACATAAAGGAGCGGTTCTATGGAAATGTCCGTGAACATTGAAAACGGTTAATTTTATCCTCTAGTCAGTATGCAGATGCCTCTCTGAAGCAGAGATAACCACGTACATTGGCGCATATCAATAGGAATAACCCTAAGGACGGCGGAGCTGCCGGGGGAGCTTTAATCCCTCACCTTTTGCGAGGACATTTTTTTTTATTGTTGCATGAGGTATGTACGAAGAATAGATTTCAAAAATTTCAGGGGGAGGTGGCCCCAGACCCGCCCACAATCTTGCGCTTCCTGCGCTCGCTTCCAAGTCCCCTCCTTCCCCCCAGTGGAAGGTAGGCACCGCCGTTCTTGAATTCCCCCTGAAAACTACGGAAAGAATGACAATTTTGAGATTTAGACGTGTATCGCTCTCATTCGATGATTAATAAAAGTCTTCGCGGACCCTTTTAAATAAGGAAAGTTATTTCTGCTTTCTGCTATGAAAACTTCCGACCGCTCGGAAGGAATTCAGACGTGGACAGACGAAATGTACCTAACATACAACGATGCGATGTGACTGAAAAGGCGAAATCGTAACAATAAAATTAATACTTTTAGTAATTAAAACAATTTTAAAATACCATCGATTCCAAGAATGCCTACACTTCTGTTTTCCTGTACAGGTTCGTAAGTTTGAATGATTTTGCAGCAGTCCTCCTCTGTCACATCTTTCATCTATGTGAATTACCGCCATGAAAGTAAATCATACAAAAAACATCGTTACTGTGTGCACTGAGTCACTATAACAAAATGATAACTTAAGGTCGAGAAAAAGAGGACTTTTTGGTGTTTACAAATATACAGTCTTGGTTAAACAAGAGGAGATGGAGGGAATTTAAGGATTATTATACAAAAACTCTTAAAAAAATGTTGTCAAGTAGACGCGCGAATGTAAAACGTTCCAACCGTATTAACATACGTTTTCCTAAACAGTGACAGGTAACCTTGCTCTTAAAGCGAAGTTCCATACCTCCAAGTAAGGTCACATCGCCCAAGTTAGATTGAATATAGTTGATGTCACAAACAAACTATGCGAGTAACCTATCGACAGACTTGTAAACTTGAAAATTCTCAGCGAGTTGCCAGTTGATGAAAGAAAAACAGTAACAATAACAACCTGCTCGGACCAAAGCTAACGAACAAAATAAACGATCAAAGTGGAGGAGGAACAATGAGGTGTGACCTTGAGAGATCATGCTCTGCACAATATCATTAATTAAGCGCAAGGCTTTGTTGCCTTTCCAAATGTGATTTTTATTTTTGAGCTATGCCACTAAACTTGAAAAGGCAGTAAGCTCAACAAATAAGTGTTAGTGACTATGAAACTGTTGAAATATTAGTAGCAATCCTAATAAATAATCAACAACTTTAATCGAGATAACATATGGTAACATGACCCCACTTAAGGGCGAGATAACTCAGATGTAAGGTGAGATGACCGGGTGGCTGACGTGAGTGACCTACAAGCGCTCGCAATTCTTGCAATTACTTTGTTTTGCTATCTAGCATAGTAGAGTAAATTTATCGCGTACCTGCTGTTCTTTCTCTAAAAATATCCTTAACTCAGCTACCGTCATGTGCTCTTTACTGTTCCCATATCTGCCAACATTGGTAAGGAAATAAAGTTACAACCATTGAGCACGCTAAGGAAACCTGTATTTTGTTTTCCTTATCATAATGATTGTTATTTTCTCGAATATATTAGCTACTCAGCTACTCTGAAAATGAATGTTATTAATATAAAGAGCTAACGCTGTAAACTTTAAATTTGAGGCCTGAGAGAAATATCGTTCGGCATTCTCAGTCTTATCCGTTCAACATTCAATTCACAGTTTAAAGATTGAAGCAGAACTCATAAGTGCCACAAGTGACTAACTTTATCAGGCTACCTGTGCAACTGTACTTTAATATGGAAGCTCTCAATTGCTGGGCAACCACGGAGCCTGATAAAACCCCTTCAAACACCTTAAGTATTGTCCAACAGGGTTGTAGCTAGGAAATTACGCTGCCGGCTGAAATTTCATTAGTGAGAAGGCTAAAAGGTGGTGAACGATTGTAAGCCAAAAATCCAGAAAGCAATCCCCTCTTTTTCAACCCGCGAATTTCGCCAACAGCCGGTGCTTGGTGACAACCCTGTTCCAATAGCACACTGTTTTGCCAAAATGGTGCATGCATGGGTTGTACAAAAGCATTCATTTGGGGTTTCAAGTAGGCGTCTTAAATCTTTATGATTAGTTTTTTTCTCATTTTCTGCCAAAAGATGCATAAGATTAGTTCTATGTTGATTCAAAAGGCTTATATCAGAAAGAAGGATGTAAATCACTGCTTAAGATTTTTTAAATGTAGTCAAACTTACTTTAATAATAGAAGGTAAAGCTCCCTTCTGGTTGAGATGCTCTTATAAAAGTTGATAAACTCGTTGAAATCCAGTAAACCATCAGAATCTTGATCATCAGTGTCTGCTGCCTAGGGTTGTAACCAATTCAAGTTGCTGATACCAATTCAAACTGTGACAAACAGGCGAACAAACATACTGTATCTGCAAACAAACCTTTTTACCCAACCAACAAATCATTGAAGCACAACAATATAATAAAAATGAAATCCAAATATTCCCAAATTGCAGGAGTAAGGCTAAATGGGTCAATAAATAGTCACTGACTCAGAGGTAAGAATGGGCCGATACCGATACCAAATATTCGATACCAGCGATACCGAGGTCGTATCGAAAAATATCGATACCAGCTAAGGGTATCGATCGTTTCGATACTGCACGTGACCTACCCGCGACTTAACTCCCGCGACTAACCGCTGACAAGTAGCATAAAACGCTCCGGACTCAAGATCGTGCACGTGCGCATTTGCGTGCAATGTAGGATTGCCGCAGTGTACGGTCAAAGTGGCGGTTTCTTCCATTCCCCAGCACAATGTTTCACTGTGAAATAGGACCCGATTCTATTAACTGTAAATGTAAAGTCACTCAGTACAACGGCAACAAAATCACAATCACAACAATCCTGGCATTACAGGGACATATCTGGAGTAACAAAAATGAGTTGCAAACTACCACGCCTACTCACTAAAGAAAAACTTCGAGCGAGAAAAAGCAACCTATATGGTCCTGTATGCCAGGGAGTCTCTGATGTATCGAGTATTGAAGCGCAGGGCCCATAATAAGTCGTGCACCCGTGTTCGTTTATCATTAGTGACCTGTGCAGTGACTAATAATCTTTCATTGTACGCCTTATGATCATGAATGCAAGTGAAAGTTGCAGATTGCTTAATAATCTGTAAGTAGAAAGATTGTACCATTGCGGTCTTCTTCATTTCCTCGTGAAATTTAAAAATGAGTCCCAATAAATAGAAATTTCTGACTTGTTCGACTGTCTTGTTGATGCTACTATAGAGAACTGAACTGAAAACTGTGCGAAGGTGTCTTCATTCAGCCAATCAGATCACGTGACTTACTATTCATTTCTATGACGTCACAGTATCGGTATCGATATCGAATAAAAAGGTAAATATCGTACTCGGTATCGTATCGATTTGAAAATGCCTTATCGGCCCATCCTTACTCAGAGGTTTCAACTTCTATGCAGACCTGCCAACTCTCACGGTTTTGCCGTGAGTCTCACGACTTTTTGTCATTTCTCACGGTCTCACGACAAAGCTGCGCAATCTCACGGGTTTTTGAGAAAAACGCTTGAAATGAAATAAATTAAGTTGTGGAAAAATTATGGGAAAAGAACGAGAAATGCTAGTGCCATATAGTGGAAAACAAATAAAGAAGAATCCTGTTCTTACTTTTTTGTACCGAGCTGGGATTTTTGCTTGTGTTCAATAAACTTAATGGTTTTTCTCCAGTACTGTGTTCGCGTCTGTCCGCCATTATTTTTGAAAGGGGAGTAGGCCCTAGGGACGAGGTTGGTGTCTAGTTCCCAGGCGTCTCCTATATTGGACCTCGTATCCATGTTGAATTTCCAAGTAGTCTTTGTAAGCTCAGCGCGGGTAGCGATCGCAACGCCAATCGTGTAAACATGGGGAAAAGAGGTGGTGGGTTAGGGTTAAAGGAGCACTCTAATGAAACCGCCCTATAATTTGAAAACCCGAAAAATTCAATTATTTCATTTTAATATGAATTTTTAGTGATTAATAAAACCTTTTCAATAATAACTTTAGTTTAAAGTCAATCAGTCTAGGGCGAGAAATTACGATTTGAAAACCGTTCCGCCATTAATTTTCGTAATCACGGCCAACTTATCTTCGGCCAGCGGTCGTTTCCATTGTGACGTAGATTACTCAACACATTTTTATATTTATACGGAAACCTCGTGAAATTTAGTAAAATAGTCTTAGTCTTAGTGTTATAAAAAGCAATATATACGATCAAAATACTGGTTTTGAAAATTAGCCACGATCACGGCGCGTCAAATGAGTAATCTACGTCACGGTTCCTCCCATTGTGACGTAGATTACTCAACACTCTTTTATATTTATACAGAAACCTCGTGAAATTTAATGAAATAGTCTTAGTGTTATAAAAAGCAATATAGACGATCAAAAGACTGTTTTTGAAAATTAGCCACAAGCACGGCGCGTCAAATTAGTAATCTCCAAACTCGCGCCAGTCTTCTTGAGCCTACGAAGTGATTACGAAAATTAATGGCGGAACGGTTTTCAAATCGTAATTAATTTTCTCGCCCTAGAATTGACTTTAAACTAAAATTATTATTGAAAAGGCTTTATTAATCACTAAAAATTCATATTATAATAAAATAACTGATTTTTTCGGGTTTTCAAATTATAGGGCGGTTTCGTCAGAGTGCTCCTTTAAAGCAAGGTAACATTTAAAAAGACTATTTATGACTTTCCCCGATGGAAAAGGGTTTTTTTAATCTTGATCGGGAAAAAATCGAATCTCATTTTTTGTAGAATCTCCTGATTTTTTTTCATAGGTCTCCAGATTTTCCTTTATCAGGGGTTGGCAGGTCTGTCTATGTTCTAAAATAATAAAAACCTTGCCAGTACCATCACTACAAAGCTTTATCTATAATAGCTGCTTCAGGAAGTGGTTTTTACGATATTCACCTAGAATACAAAGCCAACAAAAACTTTACTTTACGCTGATAGGCAATGCTTACCTAAGCAAGATGATCATTCTAATTTGGTTTTTATTTCATTTATTTATTTTATTTATTTTATTTTATTAGATTCGCCGACAGGCAGGGACACCGCAACAGCTTGCGCCAATTACTGCGGGCCCAGTAAACCCACCCATCCCAACCCAGGGGAGGACATCAATCACACAGTAATCTCGTGCGTGGGAAATTAACGTCTCCTACCCCTAACCCCACAGGAGACGGGACCTCCATTTATTCGTCCCTATCCGAGAAGACTGGAATATCTAACCATTTCTTGATGCTATAGAAGGGTAGCATATTCTCCTCATTTATTTTAAGACCTTGAATGTTGGTCCGGCCGGGGCTCGAACCCTCGACCTCCCGCACAACAGTCTAGCGCTCTATCCATTGAGCTAACCGGGAGGCGGTATCTCTTGGTCTTGCCCCTTACACAGGCTTATATGTCACTGTTATTCTTGTGACCTTTACATTTGATTTAAGTGATACTGTAAGTAGAAATAAGGAGCCNATTTTTTGTAGAATCTCCTGATTTTTTTTCATAGGTCTCCAGATTTTCCTTTATCAGGGGTTGGCAGGTCTGTCTATGTTCTAAAATAATAAAAACCTTGCCAGTACCATCACTACAAAGCTTTATCTATAATAGCTGCTTCAGGAAGTGGTTTTTACGATATTCACCTAGAATACAAAGCCAACAAAAACTTTACTTTACGCTGATAGGCAATGCTTACCTAAGCAAGATGATCATTCTAATTTGGTTTTTATTTCATTTATTTATTTTATTTATTTTATTTTATTAGATTCGCCGACAGGCAGGGACACCGCAACAGCTTGCGCCAATTACTGCGGGCCCAGTAAACCCACCCATCCCACCCCAGGGGAGGACATCCATCACACAGTAATCTCGTGCGTGGGAAATTAACGTCTCCTACCCCTAACCCCACAGGAGACGGGACCTCCATTTATTCGTCCCTATCCGAGAAGACTGGAATATCTAACCATTTCTTGATGCTATAGAAGGGTAGCATATTCTCCTCATTTATTTTAAGACCTTGAATGTTGGTCCGGCCGGGGCTCGAACCCTCGACCTCCCGCACAACAGTCTAGCGCTCTATCCATTGAGCTAACCGGGAGGCGGTATCTCTTGGTCTTGCCCCTTACACATGACTGACCCACATTAGTAAACCATAAGAGCTCAATTCATGGAAATTTACCATCCCTTTCAACTGAAATAAATTATATGGACAAAGCTTTTAAATGAAGCCTACACTGCTTAAACAAGTTGCCCTTAAATCAATGAAAATGTCTCATGGAGTTTCCTTGGCAAAAATAATTGACCAGCAAGCACCAGAATGTACAGAAGACTGGAAATCAGTTCAAGCAAAACTGCTGTTTTTATTTCCAACGAGGGAAAACTTTTGTTTGAATGACATCATACTCAGTGCTGCTAATAAATTATTGTCAAACGATATGCACTCCCAAAATCTGATTGCTGATGTCTCCTCTCTCGTACATTTCCTAGTCGTACAATAGTTATGAGGATTTAGAGCTTAAGGTCAAGATAACAATGTCTACAAGTAGATGATAAGTTTGAATATTCTTATTACCTGTTTGCTTCATAATTTATGTGTGTTACAGGGAGAAGTTACATGTCTTGTAAATTTAAACTTAAAGTTGTTTCTTTATTGAGAGTTATTGTCACTCTGCTGTCTTTACGTCCGATTGACAGATGACTTTGCATTGTTTGAAGACAATTATTTTGTCCTACCAGGGAAGGTTTCCTTAGAAGACCAACCATTGATAACCATTAAAGTGCAAGAAATGCAATGCAAGCAGATCTAAGTATTACAAATGACAACCAAAAATACAAGCAGTACCATCACTGAACTAACTGGTCATCTGAAAAAAAGGCAGACTGAATGTACACACCTTAAATGTCTCTCGCAATTTCCTGTTTGATATTTTCACATTGAGTTTGTGCATCAGAGAAAAGACTTCATCAACGCTTAAGAGACCATCTCCACTTTTGTCCGCTGAGAGGAACACTTCTTTTAACCATCTACATAATTGTGAAGGAAATTTATCATAGCAAGGAACAAAATTGAAAAAACAAAAAACAAAAAACAAAATAGCTAAATAAACCTTACAAACAGAAAAAACAAATAAAAAACTCTGACTCTGTGCATGGAAAAAGTTGAGATTTTTAGAAAAGAAAAAAAAAAGAGAAAAATTGACTTTAGAGAAAATGGATCAGAGTGAGATACTGTGAATTATTTAAGATTTATTTTTGGCTCTGGGAATTCACATTGCAATAGTTAACAAAAATGGAGAAATAGGAACACATCAGCAAGAAAAATTAAAATACAACCAACCAAAAAACCAAAAATGGTAATGATAGTGAATACAAAACTGAGAAAAAAAGAACTAGTCTTGCTTTAGTCCTAAAAGGATACTGATCTCGGGAGGTCTGCCTCCGAAGTGGTTCATCTTCAGCTGCAATGTAAGGTTCATTCATTATGTTTTAATTTAGTAATTTGACAAGAGTATCATTTCTCTGAGGTAAATTTTGTCTTTAAGTGCAGTTGTGAAAAAAAAAAACATGTCCATCCTTCAGTTGAAATATATGTTTTCCTTGAGTCTCAGATACAAATGCTCCACAAAGTATAGTTATCACTGCATGACCTATACCTATAATTATAAATGTATAAACAACCTTTAAATATGTATGCTTTTAAAGAAATGTATAAGAACCAGAGCTGTAATAGAAAGTCCAATATGACCTTGGCTAACTCTTCTAGTTTTGCCAGAAACACTAACAGCATTCATTTATGCCTTTAATCTAATATATCAAACACCTGGGAAACATTTGGGAAACATGGGGAAAAAGTGCTACATTTAAAAAAGAATGAACTAGAAGCTGGCAAAGATTACATCAACATCAATAGCAAGACAAAAACAAAACAAAACAAAACAAAACAAAAAGTGCATAGAAACAAACAAACAAACTAAAATAAGTAGATGTACAAGGGTGAATTAAATTGTAGTTATAGAAAGTTAGTCAAATTTACTTTGACTCAGTGCAGCTTCAATGCAAGCACACAAAGCAGACTTTCAGAGGCAAGACACACCAGTAACCTGACAGAGCTGAATAATGAAATGCTACGTCAGCGGGTTGCCGTCAACAACACGGGCTCAAATGTCCTAGGTCTAAAATTTAGCGAAATTAGCGGAAAATAGTAAGGGCTGACTTTTAAAACCGAGGAACTCTGTTTTCGTCGAAGGCATTTTCCTATTTCTAGAGGTTTTAAGGGAAAAATTTATTTTTGAAACTTTTCAGAGGGTGTACCAAGTTTTTGGAGGTTGTTCTGTAAAAGAAAAGTGGCAAGGAAAACGACACCTCGAAGCAACAGAATAGGAAATCATTCATGCGAACGACTCAAAATCCGTGTTTCCGTGGCAAAATCTAGCGCATGCCTGCACGTTATTCAGCTTTGTCCAGAAACCTTTGAATAGATTACAGAAACACGTACCTGGAAAGATTCCTAAGATGAGAGTGAAGAGTACAGAAAGTAAAATGAGACTGAGTTGAAAGACATTAGCTTGAAGTTTGAATAGCGAAGTCATGAGTTAAATATTAGGAGCTACACTGGAGTTTAATTATTCAAGATAAAGTTACAATCATTATGTATAAATGTTAGTTTGATGACTGGTATTTAAAGGTTCTTTAGTCTTTCTGTTTTCAAGACCATCACATTAGGTTACATTAAGAAAAAAGCTTCATTAAAAAAAAGGAGAATGCTGGCTTTAGTCGATATAGTAAGCCCCCTCAAGAATCTGGAGAGGCATTAAGACACTAATTAGCAGAGCCTTCAGTCTCATTACAATGAATTGGCCCAACAGGTCCCTTTTCTCATTCCTCAGCGTCAGTTTAGACCAAAGAGGTACCTCTCTTATATATTAGCCTCACAGGTCCCCATTCTCATTCTTTAACATCACACTTAGGAACAAAAAGGCACCTTTTTTGCATATTGGCATCACAGGTCCCTATAATTCTCATTCTTTAACACAGTTAGACCAAAAAGGCACCAGTCCGTCTTGTATATAAAGGGCTCAATAGGTCCCCATTCTCATTCTAAACATCACACTTAAGACCAAAAAGGCACCACTCTTGTATTCCAATAAAACCTAACACTTATAACTAATGAAACTTGTTGTGGTCTTTATCGACGATAGTATTTCGCCCTGAGGCATAAATCCCTATTTAAAGTCCCCTATTCACATTCAAGGTATTGAGAATTTCTTGGAATTAGATAGATAGATAGATACTTTATTATAAACACCTTGCAGCCATACTATGCTGAATTACAGAATATTTACAACTACAGATGATAAAGAAAGGAGTATAAAATATTACAACTTCGTCATTAAGAAAGAAGGAAAATTATCTACGTCTTATAAATATGGCTAAAAATAAAACTGTTCTTCAAGCGCCCGGTTTTGCATATGGGGAGAGTGCAATCACTTTTCCGCCTCAGTGCGTATCTACAACTCTTCCTTTGGGGGAGGAGGCAGTGGAGTCTATGGGTGGGGTTACGGACTATCTCGTGAAACAGATTGGTTGAAATCTTTCCTCTCCTCTCGTGAAGTTTCGGTAGGCCAGCCGTTTCTAGTGCTACACTATATCACAGGTCAGAATGATTTGGATTTCAGGGCTATTTAATTTGTCTCAAATTCAGTTCCCAGAAATTCCCAAGAATTCCACCCTTCTTAACTTAAAGGTAGTTTGTATAGCTGAGAATTCCTAGGAATTCCTAAGAATTCCAAGTCCTCACAAAACTGGAACCTTCCTTTCTGAGAAATTCGTAGCATTTCCAAGCTTTTCATTTCAGAGCTTATTTGCATAGTTGGGAATTTTTGAGAATTCCTAGGAATTCCCACAAAACTGGGAATTCAATTCGCAAGGAGTGTTTGTTTGCCTTCTTTGAAGACAGGAACTAGTTTGGTCAAGTTTAGTTTGTTTACTAGCCTGCGTCTGGTGGAAAATAATTGAAAACCACCAGCCAAAACTGAATTTTTTCTACTTTGTGGCTAGTTGGCTTCCGTTAGAATTAAAACAGGGATGGAAAAGTACAACTGCAAAACCATACGGGTTTTATCGCCACCTTTAGGAAATATTTGTCAAAATTTTCTATCTACTCTGGTTTGAGAAGACAAAGAGGACACAACCGGTCTAAAATTGTCTTCACACAACTTTTAACATCAGGGAAACACCGCTAAAACTTAGGAACCTGGGAATGTGGACAAAACCTGGCCTAGACCATGGCCTACCCTGTGGCCTACCCTATGGCCTACCCTGTGGCCTACCTTGTGGCCTACCTTGTGGCCTACCCTGTGGCCTACCTTGTGGCCTACCCTGTGGCCTACCCTCTGGCCTACCCTCTGGCCTACCTTGTGGCCTACCCTATGGCCTACCCTGTGGCCTACCTTGTGGCCTACCCTGTGGCCTACCCTGTGGCCTACCCTGTGGCCTACCCTGTGGCCTACCTTGTGGCCTACCCTATGGCCTACCCTGTGGCCTACCTTGTGGCCTACCTTGTGGCCTACCCTGTGGCCTACCCTGTGGCCTACCCTCTGGCCTACCTTGTGGCCCACCCTATGGCCTACCCTGTGGCCTACCCTGTGGCCTACCCTGTGGCCTACCCTGTGGCCTACCCTCTGGCCTACCTTGTGGCCTACCTTATGGCCTACCCTGTGGCCTACCCTGTGGCCTACTCTGTGACCCACCCTATGGCCTACCCTATGGCCTACCGGTGGTCAGATTTTTAAAAGGATAGCACTGCTGGAAACCTTTCAACGTTTTCCTGAGTACTGTCTTACCAACGACTTTCTTCTGCCGTTTTGACGGCCACAGTCATTCCGATCAAAACTTCTTAACCTTCTGATAGAATATGGAAATCGAGGAACAGAAGCCGGTTAAAAGCAACTTTTGGGCAAACATCATCATATCAGCTCTCCTTTCCAATTAGTGCAATACTGGCCCTTTCTTTGGAAAAGCAAGTAAAGTCTGCGAAATGTTTACGACGGCGATGCGTGCGTGTCCCGGGGTGCTCGTACCAAATTCAATACTCTACAGCACTTGAGGGCACTTAAAAAATTGGCCTGGCACGTAATGTTTGCGTTTTCTTACCTCGATATGTATGCTCTCCGATATAACGCCGTTCATTACATTTTACACCAGCACTCCACTATATGTTATCAACTGACAGCCTGCATCTTAAAGCCGCCATTTTGCATATTCTCTGCGACCACGCAATATTAGATCCTCCTCTCCCCTCCCCCTTAACCGACCGTTATGGTTGAGTGCTGCGACATTTGCAGTGTTTCGTTCCCTCGGATGTTGAAAATCGTGTTAGCGACCTCTTAGTATACCCTTTTCAGAGACAGATATTACACCAGCGTACAGTACACCAGCGTATTCGTTCGACTCTTACTGATTTTATTTTTATGTTCTAAAAAAATCTGACCACCGGTAGGCCATAGCGTAGTCCACAGGGTAGGCCACAGGGTAGGCCACAGGGTAGGCCACAGCGTAGGCCGCAGGGTAGGCCATGGCCTAGGCCAGGGGCCCGTTTCTCGAAATTTCCGGTAACTTAACGGGCCAGTAAAGCTGTTCTGTTTTGATTCAAGATGGGGATTTCAAAAGTTTTGAAAATGATACAATAAACCTATCAGCTAAAGAAACAAAAAGGACAGGTTTGGGGGCCAGAACCTGCTATCCTATCCGTTAAATTTTGACTTTGAAACATGGTTTCGGGCCCGTTAAGTTACTAGGACTTTCGAGAAACGGGCCCCTGGTTTTGTCCACACCCGGAACCTGGCCACACGCGCGCGACGTCGCAGAGTTATGACTTTATGTGTAATTTTTTTAACCTCTTAAAGTTGGTTCAAAGAGACCTCTGAGAGAAAGTGAAAAGACAAGAGACTCGTGTCTCAGGACTACCAAGTTAGTGAACAGGATTTGAAATTGAAACGCACGAAGCGAGTTTTTGTCTTCTGAATTTCGAAGCTAAAAATGTGCTCGGGATCGTAATTGTTTTTAACCTTCTGATACCTCCCTTCGCACAGATTGCTAATAAACCATTTTATTCGTAATGAAATACCTAAAATTGGCATCTTGTATGCGTCCAATGAGTATACCGTACCTGATCTTTTAGCCAACAAGTAACGTAGACCCACTGTCCAATGCAAAAATTCTTCTTGAGTCTGGAATACCAAGTCAAGCGTCGAAAAGTTGTCCCCATGGATAACAGAAAAGCATCTATTTTCTGTGTAAACTTCTGGGCACTGAGTGAAGGCATCCGTTGTGGAATCTTCGCGAACTTCCTTCACAGACGCTAATGGAACTGATAGAGAGGCAAATAGTATGTACATGTTTAGATCTATTATCCTTGGAAAACTCTTTTGACAGTGACGGCTAAACGGTTAAAAAACGTCACATTTTAGAACCTTGCATCCAAAATTATCTCCCCTCCCCCATTTGATCTACAATGTTGTTAACAGTACCGGAAAACAGACCGGAAACGTTTAAAAACCTGACAAAAGCTGCAGCTATTTTCAATTATAATTCAAGAAGGGGAGAGGGGGGGGGGGAAGGAAGAGAAAAGCTTAGAAGGCTTTAATAAGAATAGTTTTACAATAGATAAGTCACATCTTTTGTGAAATATTGTTGTCAACAACTTGTGACCGGGATTATAGATAAGTTGGCGACATTCAAACACAAAGGTACTGCATTTGAGTGGAAAAGTCGAGAAGAGAGAAACAAGTTGGACTACGAATATTCCCTCCTTTTCGGCAAAGCCAGTCGCACGAGAAAAAAAATAAGCAGTTAAAAAGTAAATGTTAGCGCGTCGCGGGTTGCTCTTGGATTGACGCCAAAGCGTTTGAAGTTACAGCCTATGTTGAATCATCGTATCTTAAAACGGCTCAATATAAGTTTTCCTTTGGAGATTGAGTAGATTGGATCCCCTGAGGGTCATCGGTCCCAGAGAAGAAATAAAAACAATAAAAACAAAGGAAAAAACGCGATCGACGACGAACATGGAACTCTCGAGTGTTGTTGCAACGTCAGCGCCTTAACTAAGCAGAAATAAAATGTCTTTTGCGATAGGCGAGCAAAAAGTGAACTATTACTCTTTTTGCGATTCCAAGAGATTGTGGAATATTTGCCTCGAATGCCTCTTAGCTTAACTAGACAATAAGTCCAATTTACAGACGGGCTAAAAGTTTATTAGCACGCAAAGCAATCACATTAATCGAGGCTTTTGTTTGCTTTAGACATAACATTTAGAATACCTATTTACCTGAGTGTCATCTCGCGAACACATGTTAGGCATTTTAATTTAGTAGCGCTTAAGTGCGTAAAGGGTCCAACTAGGGTAGAGAATCAGATCTCATGCAAGCAAACATCAGTCTCAAATTGCTAAATCATAACTTTAGCTTGAGATCAAAACCAGGGAGTATGAAACAGTAATGGTATATTAATGACGATGAATAAATGAATGAACGTTCTGGCAGCCTGTTGAGAGAAAGAGTGCTCGTAGCAACTATGAGTCGTTAACAAAAAGCGGTCGGAAAGCCTCTGTTACCAAAGCCTCTGAGGAATTATCACTGATTAACGGTTGAACAGAAAATTTCATCCAAGAAAACAAATGTTTATATGTTTATAATTTACTTTTGAATTTATTTAAATAAGCTCAATAATTTAGAGTTATTCGTATGATAGTATTTTTCATCGGGAATGGTGTTTCTAGCCTCATTGGGAATAGAAGTTATACTGTTATACTATCAATTCAGCCGGTGGCGTATGGATATCTGTGAAATACCAGTACTTGTTGTATATAAATGAACATGAAAATCATTTTTGTTGAGTGGATATCTTGCCGGGATCCTCTGGGCATATTACTCAGACTAATAACTTCGTCACTAACAGCTCTGTAGTCAGTAACGTTTACACCGCCCCTTATGAATAAGGTTGATTGCAACGAATTTACATCCATCGCATGCCTTTAGCGCACCTTGAAGTCTGGTTTTGAATGTGTTAGTGAGTGCGACATAATTAATATTGCTAAACACAAAATCCAGTTTATTCTATCATGTGTCTATTTCGAGGGGTTTTCGAATCAGGGGCAGATAATAGTATCACCCCGTATGAATCCTCCCGAACGCGTAATAATCACAACAAATTTGAGATTAATCTCTTTCGATAAATGCATAAAATTCGAATGGAGAAAATGATGGTATTTTATTGTACATTTCCCTTCGGATAAGGACAAAGGGTACAATGTACGTGCCTATCCTTCATCAATTATTGATCAAAAGTGGCTAAGTCTTTTCTACATTTATGGAAATTGTAATTAAATCAAGCAGGCCATGCTCTGCTTCTTAGAATGCTTATTCCATATATATGCAGACTCAACTGTGAAGACTGCAGTTCTTCTCTTTTTAAAATTATTGTTTTTTTTCTCAAATCCATTTGAGCGGTAACTATTCTATTCCAAACAATTAATGAGGATGCAAAATATTTCTTCTTCGTTTCTTAATTGCTTGTCTATACGCGTAAATACCTTTCTGTCTAGATTTTAAGTATTTCTTCAAGGAGATGGGTAGTTTAATACTTTCTATCATTTATTTTTTTCAAAAACGTTTCTTTAAGGAAAGCATAGTTACGAGAGTATATAAAAGTAAGTGTCAGGGTATGGCATCTTATGCAAAATCCTTACCTCATCTCTTAGCATGTATCACCACAAAAGGAAAAGGATAATTTTCCTCTAACAATTCAAAGCAGGACTAAATGAAAATCCCTTCACAAGCATGCTTGAGTACTCGGGTTTTTGGCTTTTATCTTAATATGTAAAAGTTAAGAGAAAGACAAAAATTCAGACTCTCGTTTGTGACATTTGTTTCTTGTAGCATGTATTTTAGTTAAATCGACGTTAAATCGAAACTTTGACTTACTTTTCGCACGATCTCCTCTTTTGGAAGGTGCCCAACAGATGTTTAAAGATTGTTGATCGAGGAAGAACTTTCGTGGATATTTCTTAGATGAACTTCGTAATTTTATGACCATTGCTCCCTTTTGCATAACATCGATGGACTCTCCGACTATAAACAAAACATACGATATGGATTTTGGCCATTTTCCTCATAGTGTTTATGGCAATAGCTGGCTTACTCATGTAATTTAGGCGTCAGAGAGCCGCGGTCTTATCAAATAAATCAGTAAATAGATGTGATTTTAAAGCTCTACATGCTTATTTTTACATTAGCTTAACACAAAATGTTGGTAAACAAGTTCATGCAAACATGATCAGAACAACAAGAGAGGCAATCGAAATAAGCACTTACTGTTGGCAAATTTATGGTTTTCGGCACATTTTGCTGCCCTGCGGTGTTGAAATGTTTTCCATCTATGAACAGACGTTTTGGCGATTCTTGCCTCGTGGCTGTGTGATTCGGTTTTTTGCGTGGTAACACTTTTCATTTTCTTATTTCCAGGGTTTCTTAAACACCGTTTGCTCGCATTTCGGAGAAGGCACCCAAGGAGAATATGATAAAAGTGACATTAGTAACAGGTGATTAGGCACCGTGAACACTTTGCATTATTAATTCGAGAGACGACAAAGCTCCACCTGATTGGTTGACAGGCTAAATGTGACCGGTGTGATGTAACAACAAACGTATTGCTATAGGGAAGCCATATTTACTACATTACTTGTGGTTTAATTATGGTTTTTTTAATTTTCACCGCAGGAAAACATATCTATATTGCTACAATTTTTTTAAAAAGCACAGGAAGCGTCGAAGGCTAGTCATATGAAAATTTTACATTAATGCATTTAGTTAGGAAGTTGACGAGTATCCATCAAGTGAACTTTTTTCCTCTTCAAGCTTACTCTACGCTTTCTCCGTTAGTGAAGAACATTACGCATCATTTTTTCCTCGTCATGATACAATTGTGCCCTAAGGAAGTGCAGTCGTTAACGTTTGCGTGCTGAAATCCCTATGTAATCTCTTTGCTCTAATTGGAGGCGAAGATAACCTGTAGTCTAACACTGGCCCGGGCATTCTTACTAAATAGTGCATGAGTGAGTGGGTAAAAACGGAAAACCTTTCGAACGCCAACTTATTGGTCAGTTCATTTAATAAACAGTACAAATTTATGACGAGATGTGAAATTTCGGTTTCCCTTCCTTCGGCAATCTATCTTAAGAGTCAAGATACATGTAATACTAATGATCACAAATAAATGATTATCAAGAGACAAAAAAATAAAAACAATTTGCACAACATATCTTTACATTCCTCGTCAATATAGCTTTGCTATTACGAATTTTCCTTTTAAGATCAAATTAATAAAGGGATGAAATAAAAGTATAGAAAAGACATAACAATTATACTTGACTACAAAGAAATGCTCAAAAATGAATATTTCTTTGGAAAAGTCTATCGAATGCAAGAAATTTAAACTCAAATGTTATTGCATGCATCTCAGGACAAAAAGTTAAAGGAAATTTTGAACTTAGACATTATTGCATGCATTTCGGCACAACTGTTAAAAAAGAGAATTACATTAGAAGAAACCGCTTCATAATTGTTTACCAAACGATAACTCGTATTTTAGCGACAGAGAAGCAGTTCAAATTAATGATAGAAGAAGGGACCAAATTGTCATGAAATAGCATTTAAGTGTGTGATTCAGATAATAACTCCCAACTATCGACTATGTACAGGACTGGACTGGACTGGACTGGACTAGACGGGTTGAAAGGTCCACGTTAAAGTGCTAGCTGGGGCATTGTGACTTAGTCTTGGCCAAGACATTACAGTCTCACAGTGTCTACCTTCACCTACGAGCGTAAATGAGCATCTAATAACTGTCAAGGAAAGTTGAAGAATTGCAAGGGGATTAATTACAACTGAAGAGTTTTAATGCTCTTCGTTACGTCGGTTATGGGAATCGGCGATAAGCTGTGGTAGTAGTAGAGAGAGTAAGCTTCTGAGGAACGTGTGGTGCTGTGTCAGTTGGTAGTATAACAAATAAGGTTGGTTTTATCAACTGGGTCGATATTGTTAACTGGCCACAGTAATGAGTTTCTAAATTGAGATTGCGAGCGTTAGCCCTTAGTCAGAGCTAATGCACTGACGCGATGTGGTGGTAATACCTACGTGGCTCAAAAGTGTTAACCTAAATATAACAACAGCACAACAACAATGACAAGCCTAAGGGTTTTAAACGATACCAGCTCCTAAAAATAAGAATATGTCCGTTTTCGTTTGTGAGTACTGGAAAATGTTAACGGTAGCTAGACAATTATGATAGATTTTTAAATAATTATCATAGATAAACGAGAACGTGATTAAAAATTGGGATCTTTATAATGAAACGTTCTTCACTTCTTTGCATATAATTATATTTCTAATGACATTATGTCAACATTATAAAACAGTTCCCTTACACTATGTAACTCATAACACACTGCATTGCATCATTGACAATACTTATCACACATTAAAATACTGACCATTTTGGACTCACAAATTGGTAATGGTAGTTAACTAATTTACAACTCTTATTCCTGATTACTTTTGAACATCGAGGCCCTTGAGGAGCTTTTCGTTACTGGTAACTTATTATGTCTTGAAACCGGCTCATCATCGAATAGCTGTGTGTGATATGCTGTACAAGTGCAAACTCATGATTTTTTTGTTTAATCGCGGTAATTTCAGGTTGTTTCATGCTTAATTTTATCTATATGAGCAGCCACCTCAAATTATTTGACTTTGCTATCTCTTTTCCTAAGTGAATCTGGTCTTAAAAACGCTTACAAAAGATTGGGTGGTATTACTTTGGCAACGGTGTCAATATTTTTTGTAACAATCAATGATATATGATTTGCTAATGACTCACATTCACACTTTGATATTCCAAATACAATAGTGCTATTGCTAAAATTATTTGACTTAACCTTGAAATCGCCAAGTTATTTACACCCGGTCCGATGTTCATGGGAAACTGAAGCACGAAGAAACAGTTTCCTTAAATATGAGTGAACATGATCGTATAATTATGCATTGCTCCGTAATTATTAAACTGAGATTTTATTCCAATCCCTTTTGTTATGGCTGGAATGATTCAATTTTTTTTATGTGTTAGACTACTTCATCTTGCTTCAGATACAGGTACTTTTGAGTGTAAAGTTTGAACGTTTCATCGACAGAGATAAACGCTATTATATGAATAAGAGTACAACTGCATGAGGGCTTGTTCGTTTGAAAGTAGAATTAAATACTAGTCTCAGACGGTCGGGGTGCTATTTTTGTACATCATGCAGTAGTGATTATAATAATAGTTATTATCATTTAAATAGTAATAGCAATGATGATGATGATGATGATTTGAAGAAGAGAGAGGATAAAAGGAAGAAACTTGTCTTACATGGATGCTGATCAAAAGAGAAAAATAAATCAAATAGAAAACGTAGAAGATCCTATTTGAGATCATAGACTATATAGGACTTTATGTGGTCTTTGCTTGCTTTAAGTCTTTGCAACAAACAGAGAGTCCCAGGTCCTCTTTGGGGGAGAGGTGTCTTGTACTGCTGGCTGAGTTTTTTTCTTTTGGAACACTTTCAGGTGTAAGCGTAAAGTAGATGATGGAAAAAGCCTTTATTTCGCGAATCATCGAATGTAAATATTTCCGTAGGGGTTTTGCATATTCTTCAATCCTCTGTCAGAGTTTTGCCCACAGGGGTCATGTGTTTGCCAGTTATATCTTGTGCAACCATCAAAGTAATAATAAAAAGAGTCAGCGAAAAAACATGGTCCACAATAGGCGCCAAAATATCGTAAAAAAACTGTGGGTGGCGCCCCATCTGGACAATGCTGAGTGATACTCTTGATGATCTTGCAATTTACGGACCCATGCGACCAGTTAGCTAAATTTCCTTTCCCAGGTGAGCAAATGATCCAATTGTTGATGTTGCTTTTGACCAAAATTTCCTCTCCAAAAGTTTTCCATTTGGAAAATTCGAAAGCATTGAAGTCCGTTTCACTCAAGGGTGGGTTAGTAGATATAGCAACGTCTACGCGACTTGAATAGATGACTGGCCAATTGGGACGGGGTGTGATTGCATTAGAACCTCCTTTAAAGTTTGAGTAATTAGTAAAGGTGTAACTCCAAACTAATGTCCAGTTTCCTCCATCAGTTTCCATCTCGCAGTAAGCTTTGAACGAGTTGTCTTTGGACCCACCATCAACATCGAGCCAGTAAACACCACTTGGAAGGTAAAATGAAGATAGAGACTTGCAAGAGGGAACAGCAAGTTCCTTCGTTGAGCCAAAAGCTGAGGGTGAAATCATGTAAGTGCAGTGAGTTATAGATATTAGATCAGCTTGCTTTATGAATACAAGTGTAACGATATTTGTGGCCTGGCCCTCACTTACCTAGACATGTTTTACCATCACCAGTATATCCAGATTTGCAAGTGCAATGAAATGATCCCATATTATTTGAACAATCAGTGTTCAGAGAACAGTTGTGAGTAGCCATTGCACATTCGTCAACGTCTTATAAAGATAAATAAGAACAATTAAATTAAATTTTTCAACAACATTTTTTTCTTTGTGATGTCACGTATAACAAAAGTAATCAAAAGCGAAAGCAACCAAAATGCATGTGTATGCTGATCGTCTTACCTAATTCACAAGTTTCCCCATAGTAACCCTCAGGACAAATGCATCGGTATCCATGAGTCCCAAATCCGGCTTGACAAGTCGACTTACTTTCACATGGGTTGCTTTGGCAAGCATTCTAAAAGTCAACACGGAATACATATCTGCAATAGCACCTGACTATTCTAGATTGTATATGCTATTCCAGATTATGGGGTGTCATTTGATGAAGCTATATATTTGGAAGCAGCTTCGTTTAACGTCAACATCTAACATCGTTCTGTAAAAATTGTTGAAAAATGCTACTACAAACTCTGACACTGTAGTGAATGGTGATACGCGGATAGCTAGGATGCATTCATATATGTTCCATGCTACGTTTAAGATTTACAACATCAGTGAGGTACCACACGTTTCTTAAGACTTTTACATTACTTACAGCTGTGATTAGACTGTAGGTAAAATCTTCCTTTGCCTTTAAGTCATTGGCAGGGACTTGCAAGTGGGTCTTGTCGCTCAGTTCACATAGTAGATTTCCATCCGCTGATGGGCCATAATTATAGGACACACAATTTGGGTCCTGGTAGCATTTCAATTCACAGATGTCTCTATCAAATACCTGTTCAATTCGTATGATATGGTTCGTTAGAGCCACATTTTGTTTTTGTCCTCTGAATTGAATCATACGACACCCACCTAAAAGGAAAAATCTTTATTTAGTCAACTGAAAAGCCAATAACTGCTGTGGTTTGCGTGGTCTTTTGGATAGACTATAAGTTCCTTCTTACACAGCAGTATCCTATCATTGCAACGGAAAAGTTAGTATGCCTTTGAAATCCACGAGCTGGTCAGGATCCGTCTGATTACTAATGCATTTAAAATCAACCTTTTTGCGATGTTATGTCAATAACATCGGTTTGAGACCCTAGCAACCGTCAACCAGATGACTGTCTTCGAAGGGAGTTAGATAACTACTCAAGATAAACTGCCGAGAAGTTCAAGAGTTAATTACCAAATAAAATGTTAATGGTTTCTAGGAATAATTGTATTTAACTTAGATAAAGCTAGATTAGATCCATTTACGTGCTTGTTGAGTGCATGTCAAACATTTGTTTGTTAGCGGTGAGGCTGCCTTGCTGTAATTTCTTTGGAATCCTTTCAGAGTCCAAGCCTCAACTAAGATATATTCGACTACAATCGACGCAGATAAATACCCACAATTTTCATGCCTGCAATCTTTCTTGAATTGTTAATTGAAGTTAATAATCTTGTGTGAGGCTCACAATGGGGGAAGAATCACTATGGTGCATCTGCAAACATGACTTCAATTCCCCAAATGACAAAAAGGTTGTCATCGTTTTTCAGCAGGATAGATGAGTTTCACGAATGAAGCAAAATCGACTTTCTTTCTTTCATTCGTTTTTTTTTTAATTAAAGAAAGCGGGGGCGAACTCCATTCCATGTGTGGATGTGAAGTGAACGTTAATTCCGTTAGGATTGAACACAACGAGAGGAAAATCAAGGTGCTGCAAAAAAATTAGGAAATCTACCCTTAAAGGGTAGAACTCTCATATGTAAGGGCTTGTTCTTGAATTCTTCTTTCGTTTTCCCTTTTTTTTTTGTATTGCACCTTATACCTCTGCAGCTTAAAAGTTTCAGGAAAAGAAAATTAGTAACCGACTCATCACTCTGGGTGTCGAGAATGATTTAAAAGTAAACACGTTCACAAAAATGCGAAGAAGGACAGATGCTTTTTTGTGTGCTTTCACAACATCACCAGCGTTGAATATCAGTCCAAGCTTAATATGCTTGCACGTCACAACGTCTGATCACGACAACAACAACATTTTTATTTAAACACGATTAAAATTGCAGAGGAATTGATGTGGTCGTGTGTTTAAAAAGTTAAGAAGTACTATTTACACGTAAATAAAAAAAAACTTAAAAACTTATTTTAAAAATAAATTATATACATATAATATATATATAAATATATTTACCAAGCTGTTTACGTGAAATTTTACGTTAAGCGTGTTTTGAACAGGCTTCTGCTTGAGATTGAACGTCTATGATTTTCGAGATAATTCCATAGAGATATGGCTTTTTAACAAGTGGACTTGCGAAGATGACATTGATGAGCGGAGCTTTGTGGAAAACTTACCTCCATGCACTAAATAAAGAAAGATGATCCACACAGGTTTTAGGAAAATATTTTTCAAATAGAGAATTGTGACATTTCTACCATTGCAGCCCATTTTCACCCTCCGAGGAAAACGAACTTGCCATTGATGATTGACCTCCAACTGACGTGTTAATCACCTAAATGTTCGTCCAGTACATACGATTATCATAATTAACGAAGAAATTTCGGAACAATAAAGAAAAAAATAACAAAAAGAACTGCCGGAGGCATGGCAAGGTTAAAAAACTCGTGTCGGTGTCAAGAAGAGCATAAAGTATTATCTCGGCGAGTTGTTCGGATTAGCATCTTTTTGCACTTGCCGTTTGCAATTAGTTATCCCAGTAGGGTGGTGCTAAGAATTTTGAACAATCCAATGGAACAGAAAAAATAGCAAACAAAGTTTCGAAAAGGGAAATAAAGTTAAATATAAAGAGGAAAACAGGTCGGAGTTATTATTTGTATTCTGAGATTTGCTGGCAGCTTTCTTCAATCGCTCGCAAAGCCTCACTCGTTCGTTTTGTGAAAAACAAACGTGGCGTAAACATCGTACGGCTGCACTTTCCAAGAAGAAATCTATATGTAACAGTTTATCATATATATCGAGAAAGATTCTCGTTAAAGACGTTGTTTTAGTTATACTCTTGGAAATCTTACAAATGAACTCATCTTCACTCTTGGGAACTCTATTTATGATACCACTATTGCGAAAATCACTTTCATTAACCATTTTATCACATGCCGGGAAAAATTACATGGCTGAGATGAGGGTATTTGTGTTATTAAGGCATGACTACTGGATCCCGAGTTTTGGAATTTTGGAATTTATTGAAATATTTTTGAACAGCGTGCGAAATATATCGTCAACTCAAAAACTAATTTCGTCGCTTGAAAGAAATACATGCTCATTGTGTTTTGAAACGAGTGTATTTACTTTCTTTTCATTTTGAGCTCAAAAAAGTGTATTTCAATCGGGATAGAACGGAAAAAACAATCTTAAAGCTTTTGAAACCTTGCAGCTAAAATCGACGGGAACTTTCAGCCGAAGCGAAACTGCACGGGTTATTTTATGAATGCACGGCCATGCGACACATAGGGATTTCAGTTTATCATGGTAGCTCCCAAGGAAAGAAAACGTAGGACATACGCGCGATACGTTGTAATAACCCTTATTTCCCTCTGGTCCATGCAATTACACATGCAAATGGCATAGCCATTTAAAGACCTCTGACAACCCAGAAGACTATTTCTCCGCAGAAGGGCATGCTGTAGAAGGCAGAGCACCTACAAAATTTAAAATTAGTTCTTTTGTAAAAGTTGTTACATAAATTCACAGCAGTATCTTTGCATCGTATTTATTGTTATTATTATGCCCTTCTAAAAGAGCTTTAAGTTTTACTCCTTATCAGTAAAAGTTTCAGCTTCATAAGCGTGTACAATCAATCAAATTTTATAAGTTCTTAACAATGGAAGTGCGGTTACATAGAAATAGCGATTTCTGAAAAAGTTTTAGACTTTAGGACTTTGTAAACAATACTTGCTTAACAAGAGCTTCTGCTATAAAACCGTGCTGTTTTATTGCAGATGCTATAGAGGAATGAAACAATCCTGTAAGCAGTATTGCATTTATTTAAGTAAATGTTTAACAAACCTGTTGCAAAAGTGTTCAGTTCAAATTTTAATCGCGTTTGAGTGTTTTAGTGTCATGTATGTTAGACTATCTTCTCTCCCCACTGGGTCTAGTAATACTTTTGATATTTCAATCTTAGCGCTTCATCTAAAAATGTTTCTGATATCGATGCTGATAAAAAAAAAAAAAAAAGAAAAGAAAAAAGCTCGATTAATCATGATTGTAACTAAGGTCTTCAAACTCAATTGCAAATTGTGCTAGTTTTGTATGCCTGCCTCTCGCACTTTTAAGACGCGGCAGTCCGAGGTACTATGGGTTTGAGAGGTTCTTTAAAAACTTGTAAACGTAAAGTACACGATTTAAAAAGCCTTTTTCTCAAGAAAGGTAACCAAATGAAAGCTTAGAGTTTGTTACTAGAGGATTGTTCGAGCCCTTCCCCTACTTCCTCTGCCCCTTCTCCTCTCCCTCAAAAAATAAGAAAAAACCGACACTCACAATCACACACAAAGTCATCCTAATTACAAAATGGGAGCATAAGATATGCCCGCACAGGCAGTTACCGTACGAAAACTTTTTATCTACCATAGAGGCCCTATTCTTTGATTTATAATTTTCCAAACATTTTCAAAATGTTCTTTCCAGCTGAAATTTGAGGACACTATTATCTGTAGCTAAATACTTAAAATGACCAATGCCCTCAACTTTTGCGAAACCCGAGACAGGTGTGGACATGGCGACAGTTTGGGATCGCTGCCGATAGGCATGCTATAAGATAAGCTATATAAAGACTCTACATAGCTCAGCTCCGAGTTATTCCTGACAGACGATCATTTAGGGAATTCTGATTATCTCCTATGTTAGCCGAGTAGTGGAGAGTCATCGGATAAAAACATTTCCGTGTGGATTTTGTATATTCTTCAATTCGTTCGCCGAGAGTGACCCACAGGGCTCATGCGCTGGAAAATCATATCCCGTGCAACCATCAAAATAATAATAGTGTTTATTACCACCCCTTATTTTATAGGCTGGTCCGCAATCATAATTGCGGCCGAAAAAAGCGGGTGCTTCGCCATTTGGACATTGTACAGTGATACTTTTGGCAATCCTACATTTACAGTTACCATAGTCCCATTGCGGCAGACTTCCTTTTCCTGAGCAAATAATCCAATTGTTGATGTTGCTTTTGATTAATACTTCTTTTCCCAAAATTGTCCATTTGGAGAATTCAATCGCATTGAAGTCCGTTTCATTCAAGGGTGGGGTATTAGATGTTGGAACATCGACTCTATCGGGATGTTTGACATCCCAAGTAGGTCGGGGTGTGACTGCGTTAGAGGTCGTTGAAAAGCTTCCATAGTTAGTGAAGGTGTAACTCCAAACCAGCGTCCAGTCTCCTCCATCGGTTTCCATTTCGCAGTAAGCTTTGAACGCGTTATCATGGGACCCACCATCGATGTCGAGCCAATAAACACCACTGGAAAGGTTGAATGAGGACAAAGACTTGCAAGAAGAAAAAGGCACTTCCTTAGTTGAGCCAAAAGCTGGAAGTCAAAACACGCAATTTTAGCGGATAATGAACATATGAATGAAGCTTTTTATAAATATAAGCTATTAAAACACGTGTAGTCTGTCTCACGCCTACCATGGCATATTTTACCATCGCCGCTATATCCATAATTACAAGTGCACTGATATGATCCGATGTCATTGGAACAGTCGGCATAGGTCGAGCAGCGATGAGTGGCTGTTGCACATTCGTCCAAATCTTAGAGAAATTAAAAATATTAACATACACGTGGTTAAATATGGGTAGTTTAAAAAGAAATGAACATTTTTCATGTAATCAAATTGTGTGCCCTTCAAAGCTTTTCTTGGACCTTTTTTCTGTCTACCAGACTGCCCTTCTATATGTTTTTTTTTTGTCAGTTTTTTTGTACACGTCTTTCTCGCAGTCAATTCCAGGATCAAACCATCTATCTGAATATTACTTTGCCAACTGATTTGCTTCTCTTATTGCTCATTTGATTTGGCAGTCCGTTATTGGGGTGGAGACGTTAATTTCCCACACACGAGATTACTGTGTGATGGATGTCCTCCCCTGGGGTGGGATAGGTGGGATATAGGGCGCACTTAATTTGGAGCCTCGCTCTGTTGTGCGACCCTCACCACACTCTGGTGAAAGTGATTAAATGGCTTAAATGGAAGAACTACACTTCACTTTCATTACCTTGACATGATTTACCATCACCAGTATATCCAGATTTGCAGGTGCATTGAAACGATCCCATAATGTTTGAACAATCGGCGTTGGAAGGACAGTCGTGAGTGTTCATTGTGCATTCGTCATCATCTTATGGAGATCAAAAAATAATAATTCAGTTGAAGATAAATCAGTTAAGATACGATCGAGAAGAACTCTAACAATCTGATTTGGCGTACCTTTTGCAGATTCTTTCAGCCCATTCTGTTTGCATGTGTGTCAGTTTGCCTGGCTGATCTGTCTGTCTCTCCGTTAATGTCACAATCAATTAGTCTGTCGACATATTTTTCGACCGGTCGGCTTGTGTTACTTTATTTTTACATTAGTCGGAGCAAAAGAAGCAGAATGCACTTACCTTCACATGCTTTACCATCACCAGTATATCCAGATTTACACGTGCACTGAAATGATCCCACATCATTTAAACATTTGGCGTTAGGAGAACATTCGTGAGAAGCCATGGTGCAGTCGTCAACATCTTACAGCGATCGAAAAAAACTTCATTGAAAAAACAATTCTCAGAATCGGACTTTATGTCCTGTTGGTCGCTGCTTTCAGTCCTTTTTTCTTCCTGTCTGCCTGTCTGGTTTTTATTCTTCCTGTTCCTTTTAACACACATATAATATATAGATTTAGCCAAGCCTAAAAGCGGAGCTCGCATTTCTTTTCCCACACGTCTCAAGGGCACAACGCCTTGCCCCGGCCAGGACTAAAACCCGGGTCGTCCGACTCGGAGCCCGGTGCACTGACCACTGTACTACTGGACAAAGCCGTGGCGTTGCCGTGCCCGCGGTGCAGTTGACCGCGCATGCTAAAAGTAGCATCTTGTACGGACGCCCGTACGGTCATAAGTCCAATTTTTTTCGGCTTGATGGGTTACTAATACCATTTTATAGCTGTCATTCCGTCTGTCTGTCTCTTTGTCCCTTTCAAGATCATGATCAGTCGGTTGCCTGAGTGGAAGAACTAGGTTGCACTTACCGGTACATGTTTTACCATCACCTGTATATCCAGTTTTGCAAGCGCACTGGAATGATCCCACAGAATTTGAACAATTGGCGTAAGAAGAACAGTCGAGGGAAGCCATCGTGCATTCGTCGACATCTTTAGGAGATGAAAAAGAAAACCTCAATTGAGGATAAATAATTAACTAAATCAAAGATATAAAAACAAATCTTATGATTGATTTGCTACGCTCTTTCAACACTTTTCTGTGTCTGTATGTTTTTCTTTCTGTCTATGTAATCCACATTCACCTGTCCATCCGTTTGTCTGTCTCACCATTACCAATTTCACAACCATCACTCTTTCAGGATATTCGTCAAGTGCACCGTTGTTAATTCGGCTATCTGTTAATTTTCATGGGGGTAAGAAATGCACTGCACTTACTTTGGCATATTTCACCATCACCAGTATATCCAGGCTTACAGGTGCAGTGGAATGATGCCACCACATTTGAACAATTGGCATTAGAAGAGATGCACTGCACTTACCTTGGCATGTTTCACCATCACCAGTATATCCAGGCTTACAGGTGCAGTGGAATGATCCCATCACATTTGAACAATTGGCATTAGAAGAACAGTTGTGAGTACCAATTGTGCATTCGTCAACATCTTGATTACAGAGATCGAAGAATAAGTCAGTTGAAGATAAATGAACAAAGATACAAAAAAAGAAATCGTTATAATCAGAACCTTATTTTTTCCTTTGTTTTGGGTTTTTTCAGCGCTTTCTATCTGCCTTAACAAAAATTCATCTGTCCATCCATCTAGCCACCTTTCTCACTGTGAATTCTTCTCCCATCGATCAGTCAGTCTGTTTGTATGTTAATTCTTAAAATGGACTGCTTGTCTTGCTGTTCATTCGACTCGGCTAACGGCGGGCCCACTTGTTTAAGCGGTAAAAATAGACTGCACTTACCTTGACATGTTCTACCATCACCAGTGTACCCAGATTTGCACAAGCACTGGAAAGATCCCAGAGAATTTGAACACTGGGCGTCAGAGGAGCAATCGTGAGTGGCAGTCGTACATTCGTCAACATCTTAAAGATAAGTCAATTAACAATATAAAAAAACTCAAAGCATCTGCTTTGTTTTCCTTTTTAGTAGCTTCTTGAGCCCTTCTGCGTCCCTCCTCGTTTGTCCCTTTTAATGTTCGTCTTTATGCACATTTATCTGTTCATTCCTATTTCTGTCTCATTGTCAGTTTCAACAGTAAGATTGCCTTGACCGCCTAACCGCCTAACCGCCTCCAGGTTAGCTCAATGGATAGAGCGCTGGACTGTTGTGCGAGAGGTCGAGGGTTCGAGCCCCGGCCGG